TGCATTAGTTGGGTGTACGGTTTATACATATGATGAGTAAAATATCTAGCTAATTTTGTCAGTATTTCACTGTACCATATCCTCTTTGATTAGAACTTTGCTACACAATCGGAAATTTGACAAAATTTTAAAAAATGGATACACGTGTCCAACACTAATTCGACAGTTTAAATAAAAAAAAACACCCAATCCATTTCTGCCAACTTAGGGTGTCACGACACCTTGTTTATATTCCCTGTTCGAGCAGACTTATTCCTTTGGTTATAGGAAGGATATATACCACAATCCACATTAGTCGTTTCATCACTAATCACTGTTAATAAATGAACAATTATTGTTGTTTTAGTTCTAAATTAGTGGTAGAGATGGGTAAGGTTGACAACCATCTCTTTTGCTTAGCAACCTCACATTCTTGTTACTCTGTTTTCCTAAAAATGATGTTTTCATTGAAAACGACAAAATTTGATGAGCCACTTTCTATAAAAGTGAAATTACAATATATATTTTTTTAAATATCAAAAAATACCTTTTCTTTTTCATTAAGTATTATCCTTCAATTAAAATTTTCTTCGAGATCAAATGAATATGAAAATTTCACGCCACATGTGAGTTGCTTTAATATATTTTCCTTAACTTTTTTAAAGACCTTGACCATGTCACAAACAAGTTCGATAAAAATTGTGAAAGATTAGTTGCACTTTATTACATTAATGGTCCTTTTGATAGGTAAAGGTGGAAAGAAATTCCAATTTCATGTTGTTGGAAAATAAAATCTCACCAAACTCATAGAAATTCATTTTCCATGAAAACAAAGAAAATACAGTTTAAAGTGGTTGTGCATTGGAACTCGATTTTCATTTCCACGTTGCAATCAAATGGCCAAAGTGAAATTTGTTTTCCTCGGATGTGACATTTTCCATGGAATTCGTTACAATCAAATATGACCTAAATTTAACAGTATTTGATTAAAGAAGAGAAATAAATCAAAATTTTATTATGTAGTATTTATTGTTCATGAATATGTCAAAAATAAAAAAAAAAAAATCTGCCTTCTGCTAATAAAAAGTTTAAAACTTGCTCAAACCAAGTAATTGTTGGAGCTTTCATTTACTTGTTGACTAAGTATTTAGGACTTAGCATGATTAGTTAGTTGTGTATTACTTTATGTTAATAAGGTCCTAGTTATTAGGACTTAGAATAGACTTTGAATTATTCTAAAAAAACTTCACCACATAATTAGGCCATGAGGTTGTACGTTTGTAAGGCTATATAAAGCCACAGTTTGTTCATCCAATAGTTTATAAGCTTTATTCTTCCATTATTGAGTGTTCTTGTATGAGAAAATATCCACTCTAACAAGTGGTATCAGAGCCTCATAGAGAGGCCTGAATAAGAGGAGTTTAAGTACAACACAGTTAGGAGAAGAGAGAAAGTGTGAGTGAAACACTGTGAGAAGAGTGAAAGAGAGAAGAAAATGTGAGTGAATTATTGTGAGAAGTGAAAAGAGTGAGAATGGCTATTGAAGCACCTTGCATTCCCAAATTTGATGGGGATTATGATCACTGGAGCATGTTGATAGAAAACCTCCTAAGATCAAAAGAATATTGGACTCTCATCGAAACGAGTTACTCTCACTGAGAAGTTCAATTACATTGTGTGTTCTATAGAGGAGTTGAAAGACATTGATCGTCTTTCTGTGGATGAGTTGCAGAGTTCATTACTTGTTCATGAACAGAAGTTCCGAAAGAATAGTGGTGAGGAGCAAGCTCTGAAAATCACAAGTGGAGAGGCTTGGAGCAAGGGAGGAACACAGATTTGGAGGAAGAGGCCGAGACAGACATGCACTCAACAGGGCTACCATAGAATGCTATAAGTGCCACCAGTAAGGGCATTTTCAGTATGAATGCCCTAAATGGGAGAAGTATGCCAACTATGCAGAATTGGATGAAGAAGAAGAGATGCTTCTCATGTCTCATGTTGAGCTTCACAACTCAACCAGAGAAAAGGTATGGTTCTTGGATTCTGGTTGAGGAACCACATGAGTAGTAATAAGGTTTGGTTTTCAGATTTGGATGAAGGGTTTAGACATTCTGTTAAACTTGGAAATAATTATAAGATAGCTGTTATGAGAAAATGGAATGTTCGGATGCATGTTGGTGGATCAACTCAAGTAATTAGTGGAATCTTTTACATCTCTGAGCTCAAAAACAATTTATTGAGCATAGGGCAATTGCAAGAGAAGGGGTTGGCCATACTAATTCATCAAGGAATGTGTAAAATATATCATCCTAGCCGAGGTTTAATAACTCAAGCTGCCATGACGGCTAATCGAATGTTTGTGATACTAGCAACACTTGTAGCGAGAGATTCAGTTTGTTTTAAATCCACTAGTGACGATGAGGCTCGGTTATGGCACTATCGCTTTGGTCATCTCAGCTAGGGTTGAGAACTCTAACTGATAAAAAGATGGTGGAAGGTCTACCTCCCATCCAAGCTCCGGCAAAGTTATGTGAACACTATCTAATTGGGAAACAACACAGAGAACCTATTCCCAAGAAGAACCTCTGGAGAGCCACTCAAAGAATACAGCTAATTCATGCAGATCTGTTTCATCGATGATTATACTAGAAAGTGTTGGGTGTATTTTTTATCTGAGAAAAGTGAGACATTTGCTTGTTTTAAAAGATTCAAAGTACTTTTTGAGAAAGAAGTTGGGGCATATGTATGCTATTTGCATATAGATAGGAGTGGAGAATTCACCTCCAGTGAATTTAATGAATTCTGTGCAAATGGGATTAAAAGACAGCTTATTGCTGCCTTTACCCCTCAGTAGAACGGAGTTGCTGAGAGGAAAAATAGAACCATTATGAACCTAGTGATGAGTACTTTGTCTGAGAAGAAGATGCCGAAGGAGTTTTGGCCAGAGGGAGTCAATTGGATAGTCCACGTTCTTAATCGAAGTCCGAATTAAGTTGTTAAAGATGTGACTCCTTTGGAGGCATGGAGTGGGAACAAACCAGCTGTGGAGCACTTTCGAGTTTTCGGATTATAGGGCATGTTCACATTCCTCATAACAAAAGGACTAAATTGGAGGACAAAAGTATGAAGTGTGTACTGCTAGGGTTGAGCGAGGGTTCAAAAGCTTATAGGTTGTACAATCCTGCAAAAATGAAGATTGTAGTTAGTAGAGATTTGTTTTTTGAAGAAAGTGAAATGTGATATTGGGGCATAAGTGAAGATGAAGAGAAGAATAATGTATTCAATTGGGGTGATGATGGAGAGGAACATGATATGCATGGTGACAGTCTAGAAGCTGCTCAATCCAATGAAGATCGAATAGTTCAGCTAATGCATCTGTTCCATATGAAGGGAGGGATAGGAGACCATCAAACTGGATGCAAGACTATTTCAAAATTCGAGATGACAGATTTGGGCAAGATGAAGTACTTTCTTGGTGTTGAGATTCTGCAAAACAATGAGGGGTTTTACTTAAGTCAGAGAAAATATGTACAGGAGATTGTAGAGAAGTTTGGTATAAATAACTCCAACTCAGTACAAAATCCTATTGTGCCAGGCTTCAACCTTTTAAGAGATGAAGGAAGAACTCATGTAGATGCAACTCAATACAAATAAATGGTAGGCAGTTTGATGTATTTGACTGTGAGAAGGCCATATCTTATGTTTGTGATGAGTGTGATTAGCCGATATATGGAGAATCCAACAGAGCTACATATACAAGCTATCAAGAGGGTTCTGAGGTACTTGAAAGGCACAGTGGAGTTAGGAATTTGCTACAGAAGTGATGTTGTGAATGGTGAAGAATTAGTGGCTTTTTCGGATAGGGATTATGCAGGGGATATTGATGATCGCAAGAGTACATCTGGTTATGTCTTTATGTGTTGAGCAATGGAGCTGTGGCATGGTCTTCCAAGAAACAACCAGTTGTTACCCTATCTACCACAGAAGCTGAATTCATCTCTGCAGCTTACTGTGCGTGTCAATGCGTGTGGATGAGAAGGGTTCTTGAAAAGCTTGGTTGCAGTCAAAGTAAGTCCAATGTGATTTTTTATGACAATAGTTCTTCTATAAAGTTGTCAAAAAATCCTGTTATGCACCGAAGGAGCAAACACATAGATGTTAGATTCAATTTCCTTCGTGATCTTTGCAAAGATGGTATGGTCGAGTTAGTGTATTATAGTTCATAGAATCAAGTAGCAGATGTCATGACGAAACCATTGAAGTTTGATGATTTTGGGAAGTTCAGAAGCTTGCTTGGATTATGAAGATGCCTAGTAGGTAAACTGATTGCTTTACGCAATACAGTTTAAGGGAGGATTTGTTGGAGCTTTCATTTACTTGTTGACTAAGTATTTAGGACTTAGCTTGATTAGTTAGTGGTGTATTACTTTATGTTAGTAAGGTCGTAGTTATTAGGACATAGGATAGACTTTGAATTATTCTAAAACAACTTCACCACAGAATTAGGCCATGAGGTTGTACATTTGTATGGCTATATAAAGCCACAGTTTGTTAATCCAATAATATATAAGCTTTATTCTTACATTATTAAGTGTTTCGTAGAGATTAAAATCGGATTAAAATTGAAAAAGTAGCCGTTATTGTTGACTTTTATTAGACGAGTGAGACCTAATAACAACTATATTTTCAATTTTAATTGAATTTTAAATTCTACCACTAAATGTTCTTGTGTGAGAAACTATCCACCCTTAACAATAATTAGCAAATGTATTCGCACTAATCAGTAATCTTCCACGAATACCGCTGACTATTTACTGGAAGTGAAATTGAATGATTATCTACTAAAGTTTTCACGAGTAGCCTTTTTTCATTTTCCTTTTAGACCAAAATATCGATTTTTTTTTATATATACCTTATCGAATATATACACAGTATCCCTTTATGCGGAAGAAAAAAGAAAAAGTAAAAGAAAAACGTAATGAAAGGACAGGATTACGCTGCACTTTGAAATAATTTGAAAGTTAAACTCCCGAAAGCCATTGAAAGAACTCGCTGATTTCTTCGCCGATACGATTCGCTTCCAGGTCTTCAACAGTGGCGATAGAGTCGCTCCGACGGCTGCTGTCAGAGAAAAAGCTGCCGGAGGTTCGAAACGACGTCGTACGAGAAGGCGTAGACATTGACGGCAGTCTATCTATGTAATCCATTATCCAGTTCCTCCCAACGGAATCCTCTCTGGCCAAAACCTCGCCGCCTGGAACTCTGACGGAGGATTGCTTGTCGAGAGAAGTGCAATGAGGCCGATGAGTGGTTGACCGGACGGAAACCTCGTAATCGTCGTCCACAATATATTCGAAAGAACCTACAGAATAAGTTTGCCGCCTTCCTTCGCCGGATTCCGTTGCGCCACGGCGGTGGCTGATGCTCCCGATCTCAACCCGAAAACTCCCGCTATTTTCATAGTCATTACCGTTTCCATTTCTCAAGCTACTGTTATTATTATAATGATGATTAATGACTGGATGTTTAACGGAGTGTATTTTATCCAATACGTCGGAGTCTGAGGGTTTCACTGTGGATCGGCAGAGAGGACACGTTTGATTTGTGACGAGCCAGGTGTCTATGCATACGGCATGGAAAGCGTGACAGCAAAGCGGCAGTAAACGGAGCTGATCGTGCGGCTCGAACTTCGATAAACACACCGCGCAATCACCGCCAGCGAGGTTTCCGGTCACCGACCGGAAGTCGAACAGTGGGAGAGGATCGAGCAAATTGTTCGATGCCACTTGGTATTGGTTCGAGTTCGTATTATTTGAAGCAGCACTGGTGTTGCGTTGTAGGTGAACATCGGAGAATGTACGGTGGTGGAACCGCTTGGACAGGAACCGGATGAAGAGGTAAATGAACGACGAGACAATAATCGCGGAGGCAATTACAACGATCACTATAATAATTGACGAAGAATTAGAAGATTCAGACGGTGGTGATGATGATGATGAGTCGTCGATGTACGGTGGCTGTTGGGGTATATTGATGGTATCGGTAGGCATGGCGGAGACGCTGTCGGCATTGGTGAGCAGCGACGGCGGAAGTGGTGGTGTATATAATAAACTAGACATTTTGTAACGGCGTTGAGGAGTGTGGGTATAGATATAGAGAGGGAAGGAGAGGGTTTGTGATATTGGTATCAAGCCATTTCTATTGACGTGTGATGGGGTTTGGTTTTGGTGCTTTTGTTGGCACAGACACGAGACTGGCACGTGTAGAATGAAAGTGTATTGCACAATTTGTGTTTATGTTTGGTAAACTGTACGTGATACAATTTGTTTAAGACTCGCCGAGGACAGTGTTTAAGGATTTTGGATTTGGTTTTGGCTTTGGGCATCAATTGGTTGTGAGTGGTTTTGGGTTTGGTTTCACCATTTTGGTTCTGTTCGAAGTATTTTAAATTTGTGACTTTTAACTTACTTTATTAATTCTTTTGTTGGTTGGTTAGATAAAGAAATGAATCTATAACATACGAAAATATTTTTCGTATATAGCTAAATATTACAAGTGCGTCTTCTTGTGAATGAGGGACGTCCAAGTCAATAGCTCGACTTTTTTTGGACCTTTCATCTTTACTGGTCATGACCATGAAAAGAGTTTACTATCCTCTTCGTTGGCAGTTGTAAAATATTCTCATGTAAAGCGCGACGTGTCTAAAAAAATTAACTCTATCTATTACGTGTCAAAGAAGTAACATTTTTAAAGAGATACTACACCTTGATGCTTTGTCCAAATGTTGATTTGTTCTTGTGCTATGTTGATGTTGAAATTTGTATGAACGATAGGGGATGCTAACACTTCTGATTGGAGGATTATGTGGGCGCGGATGTCAGGTCTTTCCAGTAGTAATTCGATGATTGGTAGCTCATATATCCAGTCAGAGATCTCTTAATCATTACATTCACCATTTCCTTGGAAGATTACACAAGCTTTTCGCAGAAGGTTCCCACCTTCGAGCTGACCTCACACAACCGAACTCAACATATGTTCTACCTATGATGTGGATCAATCTGACCTCAACCACCTTGGAGGTCGATGTCAACATGCTATAATAATAGGAACCACGAAAATTCTCAATAGATTCTTTGTCATCATATGTTGAAAAGCAATCATCTTGTGATAGATTTTAAAAATTTGTCCAAGTGTCATGACCATCTATGATCTATTACATCTCCACTATATATTGTATATGTACCTTTCGAAATGAAGGCTAGCTGATTACCTTTTAGAATCTAGGTTCAATTTCAAAGCCAAATCAGGCTCTTCATTATAAAATTACTACCTCTTTTAAGTTTTCAATCAATATAGTCAGCATCAATTTCCCCTTTTATCAAATAGTTATTCAGTCATGGGTTCTTTTTTCAACCCAATATTTTATCACAATACCTCAACTAAGATTATACATGACATGATCACAAACTTTTACGCACACACGATCTCGCACATATGAAAGTATATGCACGTTTCAAGTGTCACGTGTAATAATAACAGTTTGAAATAAAAAAATAAACATGTTTGTCTAATATAAAGGAAATGTCAAAGTGTAGACGACAAGGTCCTTTCAAGTTACTTGCATACCTTGTCACACAAAGGCAATTCCATCTAATTACATTTTGCTACAGCGAAAACGGATGATGTAAAGGTATGGGCCTGCTATATAACTTCTAGTAGAGTTCAAGTATTATTCTTGATGGACCCTGAATCTCTTTCCTATTTCTTCTTTCCCTTTACTGTGTTTTTTGGGCTTTTCCTCATTTTAATTTTTTTAGTTTTCTTCCAACAAATTCATTTCCCATTTAAGGTGGAAACATTGAATTGAACAAAAATACAAAAAAATATTCAAAAAATTGCTACCCATATTACTTTTTGGGTTATCATTTACAAAAA